TGCTGAAACATTTTCTGGGATTCTTTTTAGAAATTGTAAGCTTTTATTAGTATTTAAAGGGAAGGACCTTCTTCCGAAAGGTTCTAATGTATAACTTCTGCCTTCCAGGGACTATGAACTACCTCACTTTGCTGTTAAATGTTATTTTATTCACCTAATTTCTGTCCTTTGAAGTTTTTCCTTTGTATTACTGAGTAAGCTGTTTTGTCACCAGCATCAAGTGTAATTATTTATTGGTTAGTCACTGGATCTCCTCCACATGCCTTAAAGGTGTACTCTGATTTATGTAATACGTACATCTGAGCTGCTTCATCTTCTGTAGGCTCTAGGACTGCCCACTGTTAAGTCATACTGTAAAGAAGTTACTTTCCTTAGTGCTGATCTCTTTACTGGGAAGAACAGTGGATTCTAAGGCTGAAATGTTGAGACCATGTTGTGCAGTGATTAATTGTAACGAGTAGAGGGCTGCGAGGTGCTCTGATATCAAATGTCTTGTAAAATTATGAAACTGGATAGCTGCTGGCTTTATGGCATCCAAAATCTGCTCTCAGCCTATTCCAACATGTGCAGATCAGTCAGTTAATGTTTTAGACAGTGAATGTCAGATTCAGCAGTGATGCATTTCGTTTGGTATACTAAAATCTTCCTTAATCTGGGTGCATGGTTATGTTTTCGAACACCCTGATGCTTTGATACCTAAAATTTGTAACTGAGTCAATATTTTTGTTCTATAATTCCTCCCTGGTTTACATGAACTAGGTGATATGAAAGAGAGAAAAGATTCCTCTTCCTAGTAGTGTACTTGATAGCTGAAGATCATTGTTATCCTTTGGGTGATTAAAAAACCTATCACTTTGCCAATGCTCTAAAATACAGAGCAAGCTTTTACAAGCTGTCAATTCCAATGTGCCCACAGTTAACATCAGGATGTTGTTGCAAAGGCTGCGCTGATGTGAGTAATAAATATAGCTGGATGTTTCAAGCTGCTTGTGCTTCTGTGCTGTCCATATCAAGTCATTTTCAGTGTTAAGGATGCCTTTTGAGTTTTTATCCTTGTCTGCAATTCCTGTTCTGGAGTGTGAACTAGTCGATAGTTGCTGACTTTGTTCCGTTCTTTAACTTGGTAGAGATTACCTAGAGGACCAGTGGGTGTTTTTAGCTCAACGGCACTTTTGTACTGCTTTAGGAGATGGAGTTGTGTCAAAGTGCTTCAGTCTCTCTGCTTCTGATAGTTGGTGAAGTGTTATTCTGGTTATTTAGGCTTTAAAAAGAACTTGTGTTTCTGGGCGTGGAGTAAAAGGCTAACTTTAAATGTCCCCCCTCATTTCAGTATTTCTGTGCTCAAATTCTGTTCTTGGCCAGCTTCGTAGATCCATCTTGATCAGAAGACTAATCTAAGCAAAGAGCTTAGTTTTCACTTAGTAAGTCCCCAGTAAGAATACCATCCCCATGGTAGCATCATAAAGATTCTTGCGGTCAAATACATACACATATGTATGAAAAACGTTTTCTAATGTATTTTCCATCAAGAAAATGAGAAACTGCTCTCTATTATAGGGATTATTTTGGCAAAAATTTAACCTCTATTGGTCTGTTAAGGATATTTTAGAATAGAAGTCTCCAGCTCTTGCAGCTGCATCAGCATGATGGTAAAAAGTAAGGGGATTTACAGGTTTTTTTTGACTCCCTACCTCTTGCTTCCTATTACAGTTAGCAGATGCGATTCCAGAGGCAGAGTAGATGTTAAATATAATATAGTAACTTTTTTTTCCATCTACTGTCTGGTGATCATAAACTACATATGAAAGAGCAGCTTTTTTTTTTTTTGATTTGGTTTGGTTTGGTTTTCCCCCCAGGGACCAGACTAGGGACGTTTTAGGAGTGGACAGGGCAGAAGCAGACTAACAATATTCATGGAGTCTTCTGCTCTGTTTCAACCATCAGCCTCACTTCATATCATCTCCTACCTCCATCTCGCTCCTGCATGCAAGCTAAACATGGAGAACTAAAATGCTTTTCTGCCTCTGATCTGTACTTCTCCCTGCCTTGGGCGTGGGATGTGCTGGCTTTTTCACATCTCGCTTCAAACGGGTGGTGAGAGCAGGAGTGGAAAAGTGAGCTGGAGTTCTGGTTTGCACCACGTGATATTTACGTAGCCACTCTAATGCAGGTTGGCTGATACATGACAAAACTGTAATTGCTGGGGTTAGGGAAAACAGAGGTTTGGGACATTTCTACATTTCTATACTAAGATTGCATCCCATTTAAAGCACAGCGGTGCTCAAGGCTTGGGCTAGATCTGGTGCGAGGGTTATGAAAGGTCTAGTGTAAGCTTGTAACTGTTTTTCACTCCTTTGCTGCTTCTCTGGAAGCTGGTGTGCTGCCCTAGTCATGAGTTTTTCCCAAATCAAAGTAAGAAAATAGGGCTGGAAAGGACTCAAGAAATCTGCATCCTTGTGTCCTAGGCTGGGGGCCTTAGGGCTGCAGCCCAAGAGACCTGATACCTTTTCATTTTGGAAATGTCTTACAGGTGTGTTTTTCTCATTTTCACAAATTAAGTGGTGCGCTGACACAGATTCTCCATCTCCTGCGCTGTCTCTTAAATTAGGGTATCTTCAATTTTGAGGTAGAATTTCGATCTTTAATATCACTATGGTTTGCATGAAAAAGTCTGTCTTTATTTGATCTGTACCTTAGGGACTTCATTTAAAAGATTCTGTACACAGAAAGCCTTAGCTCATGTCTTAAGTGCTCTCGTGGGAGCACTTGGAGGTATTGCTGCGCGTTTGGCAGTGAGCGTGCTGGCAGATTGACTCGTTGATTAAATCCACCTCCTTGTGTGCGCATGCACACGCACAGGTAAGGAAGCCGTATGCATATTACATGAAGCTCTTGCAGGGAGAATTTGATTTCATCTCCTTTCAGACAAACCAAAGGAACACAATACCAGTTGTGGGGTTTGTGTGCAGTTTTGTCCATTCAAACCATTCTTTTTGTGAAATTACTTGTGATTGACTTTATTACAGTAGGCAGAAGAATAGTTTTTGTCTTAACATCCTTTGTCCTATACTGAACAGTGTTTTAACAGAAAAGGAAAATGCTTCTGTGTAATGTGGTTTTCAAAATGGAGTATTTTAGAAAACAGCAGAGGAGAGGCTGTATGTGTTGTGTACAGTATGTTACAAAAAGATAGACGAAATGCCTTAGCTCTGTCTTAAATCAAAATGCAAGTGTAGAAAATTTAAAATACTTTTTTTTCTAGTATGGTGTCCAGAACATTAAGGAAAATCTTAATGCAGACTTAATATTTTTACCTTCTTCATTCTTCAATAACAATCAGTGGAATGAAATAAACATCTGTCTTTTGACCTTGTTTCTCTTTGTGTTACTGAGCTCATATGAGGGACTTTTGCATTGATGTCTTCACTTTGTTTCTTATTTTTAATGTTATGAAACTGCTGAATTTTGTCAAACAAGCAGGTTATTTCAGAGGGCATTTGTTTATTATGTTGAGCTGTAGCTGCCCCAGGTTTACCCACGGAATGGAAACACGTCCCAGTGAAGTTCTTTTAATGGGAAGCATGTGTTCAGTGTCTAGATGTCCCCAGGGGCTGTATAACCTGGATATTAGTTTTGCTTGATGTATCAAGGAGGCAAAGACTGCAGGCTGAGGCAGTCAGTTCTTGGTCTCCCCTTTCCAGTTCAGAATTTTCTCTCTTGCGGTCAAACTGAACTTAAAGCAGTTTGGGTGACTGCTGTAATGGACTAAGAAATATCCAGAGCACATTCTCCTGCCCTTGTCCAGGAGGATGAGTATAAGGGACTGACTGAGGAATAATCTGGTTTGTGGAAAGAGACTTCCAGCATCTGAACATTGTTGACATTTCTTAGAAAACATTTTGTGGTGGAAAGGTGCTGCACTGTAGTTAGTAGGGTGGGCTGAAATAGCATCCTTCATTTTTGCAGCTCCTGGGGAAACTTTTCCAACTACTGGTTAGGATTTTGGAAGTGCTTCAGCCTTCCTGCTAAGGCCAGATACACTGGAAAATTACCTCCTGTAAATCTGCGAATAGTCTCCTGTTTTGTGGATGACTGGCTCATTGAAGGTTCTTCCAACTAGAAATGCTTATAGGAAGTGTAACCTTTGGCTGACAAGACGTTCTGCTGGAGTTCCCTTACGAGCACTTTTTGGCTCTGGAGACGGCGCGTCTAGCCAACAGGAATCATCTCAGCTGTAGTGGACCAGCATGTCAGCTTCCTATCCACAACGCTTGGAATCTCATTTAGAGTGACCTCAGAAATTGAAATCTTACGTTGAGTCTTGCTTTGTAATTGTATTTTCTGGTAGCAGCTGCATGTAATATGTTTTAGGGAAAACGCTTTCCAACAGTGTTTTGTGGCAGTACTTGGCTTAACCGAGAGGCTTATTACTGCTTCGTACAGCAGCTAAGAAGACGTTCTCCAGGAATTTGGATTGCTGGAGGTTTATTCTGTCAGTCTATTTTCCAGAGTCTGAAAACTGAGATTCCTTACGCAAAGTTTAAATTATTTCGGTATGTTGCTTGTAAACTCATTAATTTTGTCTTTATCAGTGTATTTGGTTTCTCTTTTCCTGGGTAATGACTTCTAAATATGTGGGGTTTATAAATGTATCTTTTCGTCCAGCTTTTTTCCATAAGATCATCATATTGAGTTTTGGTTTTAATTTCCGATTTCAAGTTAGAAATATATGTCTATTACCCAGTAGAAGCTCTAAATCTTTAAGAATTTCTGAACTCTTGCTCTTGGTAACTTGAGCCTGTGTGTCTTTTCTGCCTTGAGTTCACAAAGTTAGTGAATATGTTTCCACTGAGACTTCCCTTGACTAAAAGAGTTTGGGAGAAAAAGTTAAGTTCTACCAGTCTTTGGATCACAGTGATGGTGTTCCTGTTTGGTAAAAATGACACAAGAGATTTAATTTCGCCAAAGTTTTGAAAAATTGCGTTCATAATCTAGAATTAAGTCAAGTACAATGAATTTGTCATTTGAAAGCAATGCAACGCACCTTTACAAAGAAAGAGTTGATATAGAAATGAAAACATTATTTTTCATTACTTAACCTCAGTTTTTATTGAATGAAAATACTGCAGTAATGAGTTAACTGTATGCCATTTGCATGTTTCATAAAAGAGAAAATAATAATTTCAAAAGTTTTTCTAATAGTGGAGCTGATATCTTGGGTTTATTTCTTTTCCGTTTTTACTTGTGAATAAAGCTATTAACACTGTGCCTGATGGCTCTGGAGACTTTCACAGTGCATTAAGGAAGAAGCAGATTTCTGCTCTGAAGGAGCCTGGTTTTCTTAGTCTCAAGAAGCTTCAGTTGTGCACTGGTTTGCTAAATCGTTTGTGTAAAATTGCCGTGTAAAGTGAAACTCAAACAGCCATGTTTTGAGTGGATGGTATATCTGAAAGAGCCCTTCTCCCCTTTCCCCTGAATACCTGGTCATGCCCTATTGTTCTTAAGTAAACAAGAGGAATTGGATTTTCCTTGTCTCTCAAATTATAATTTGCATATTTAATTTGAGGCATATTATTTGAGGTGAGAGCAAGCAATAGATGTTCAAGTAGAAGTCCTGTTTCTTCTTTGGTTATGAAAACAGATTTCCACAGCTCAGCTTATGCAAAGGATCTTACCTATGTTATTTCTCTTTGGCCGCTGGTAATTTACCAGTCAGCTGTTAGACAAGGGAACAGTGAGGATCATTCATTTCTTGAAAAGCAGCTTAGCTGAACTAGTACTACATGTGTCTTGCATCATTTTGTTTTTAAATTCAGAAGTGTTGGAGGATATAAAAGGTCCTTTTCCTTCAAATTGTTCTCCACAGGATTCTCCTGTCACATTTAATAAAATAATGCATTTCTGAGTCTTGCTTGCAAAATAGAATTTTCTGGCATTGTGGAAATGACAGACAATGCGTTGAGACCAAAATCTAAATGATAACACTGAAAATTAGGTAATTTAAAAATAACCAATACTTTGGTTGTGCTGAGAGGGCTCTAAAGTGCGTACAATTTAAGCTTTTTAATGAGTTTTCTCATGGGAGGTGTTTACTTACCATTACTATTAATTTGCGCTTTAATTACTATTAATTGTCACTGAGTTCAGCTTCTATTGTGGTAAAAGTGAACTTTCAGTTGTTCCTTGTCCATTAACTATATGGTACATTGCTATTAACAGAAAAAGCCTGAGCCTCATGGGGTGTAGGCAACTTCTGTGGAATGTGCCTGTCCTGGGTGCTATTGCAACTTGCTTCAATGCGAGTGTTGGGAGTAGGGGGTTGGGAAGGCCAAATGTGCTCCACGTTTGTGCCTTCATATTCCCACATGGTTAGGAATGAGGTAGGAAGAAATATCTTTATGCTTAAGCAGCAGAACGCGAAGGGAAGTAATTTTCTATTTACGCAGACCAACAGTGGATTACTTGGCTTCAACTTCCTTAAAACAGAACTCAGACTGTTCCTTTCTGTGTAAATCATTATGTGCTGGCCTTTGCTTATAGTCAAGCTAGTAACTTTCCATCTTGAATTTGAGCTGTTGCCTGTGTTCTCTTGGAACTACTAATTGAAATTATAAAGTAGTGTAGACATCTAATTTTGTTTTGTGCTGAGACTTTTAAGTAATCAGCCTTGAGGTATGCAGTATCTGTGAGGCTGGATTTTTTTTTTTTTCTTTTCCTTCTTTCTTGGCATAGCCAGTACTTCTTATTATCTTAGTTTCTTTAAATAAAAAACAAGAGGGCGGGGAAAAAAGCCCAAACCACTTTTCTTTTCTTGTTTCTTGTAGGTTTATGGGTGTCTGTGTGCATCAAGGACAGCTGCACGCACTTACTGAGGTAAGACTATTTCATGCTACACATACTCAATAAGAAACAGTTCTCAGGCCAGATTCTGCAACTGCTATTCATCTTGAATGACAGGGTTCTTTTTATGGTGACTGGTGAGTTAATCACATGCTACATGCAGTGCAGTGGGGAGATGCAGAATCAGGCCTCAGAACTGTACTTCACTTACAGTCCTTGTATGTCTTTGCTCATCAGAAGCACTTATTAGAATGAAAAAAAATCACAGTAGGAACGTAAAATTTCACTGATAGTATTCTAAATGAGATGTGGATTACCATTGAGTCACCCCTAAATATTATTTGTTCCAGTGACATTGCATTGTATATAAACCTTATTTATACTACAGGTGGTTGAACATTTCACTGATGAATCAGGGATGTTTCAGCTGGAAGACACTAGTGAGTTCCATCCCCTATTTATACTACAGGTGGTTGAACATTTCACTTATGAATCAGGGATGTTTCAGCTGCAAGACACTAGTGAGTTCCATCCCTTCTCACCTTCTTATCTGGAATAACATCAAGTTACACCTTAGACTGAGTCCCACAAAAAGGAATTATTCAATTGCCCATATACTGTGGCCAAGATCTAGGTGTAAAAGGAGAAATGAAAGTTTCAGTTCACATGAGTCTTCCCACCAAGTTTTACTGGGTTGGATGTTTAATCTCGTTCTAAACTGCTCAGGAAAAATAAGAAGGGTGTATTCTCTTGTTAGGAGTAGTGTTGCCTATTTTGGGTCAATATGAATAAAATGTTTTTCTTGGTGTTTTAGTTTGAGGGGAAACTCATGTTTTGTGAAGTTAATGTTTCTTCTATTTTGTAGGAACTACTCAATTAAAATATTAACTATTTCCCACCCTCCAAAGACAAGTATGTTATTAATTAGCAATTAAACAGATGCCTGGTATGCCTGCCAAGAACTACTGTAAAATGAGGAGATCGGATAGCTGTATGCCAATTGTCAGGATATGCATGGCCATCACTTTCTGTACCTTTCATATACAACTTTGAGGCGAAGATGCACGTATGTGGGCAGTGAATTTCTTCACCTTCTGGAATGACAGTTCTGCAGTTCTAATTCTAGCTACTATCAGGATGCATGCTAGTTCACAGTGGCCCTATGTTTAATGTAAGAGCAAAGGTAAAGACACTTTCAGAAATTTCAAGATACGGCTTATGTGAGGGGTCCTTTCGTATTAGAAGTACTAAATCTTTGCAGATCTTCCTCAGTGTGGGGTTTTTTGTATTAGTTTGTTTTCTTTCCCCCCACTTCATCCCAGTTGCTTGCCATTTAAGATGTCCCTTCTCACCCAGAAAGCCAAGAAAATGAAACCAGCACAGATGCTTCCTCATGGAGAGCTAACTTACTTTGTTCAGCTGTTTCTGAGTTCATGGCAAGCAAATAAATCTAAGAAAGACTTCAAAGAATAACTTTTTTATAGTTATAATTAAGAATAACAGAAGAGATTTCCTGAAATATCTTGAGATCAAGGAGGAAAAGTTTTAGACTGAGGAAGGTTGCTGCAAAATTTTTAGAAGCAGAATGGCTTCACGACATACTATAGAAGTACATGTAGTGATCATTACTTTTCTTATGTGGACCAAGGTGGACATTTAATGCCTTCAGCAGAAAAAAACCCACAACCGAAAGCCATCATAAGTTGATGCTGTAGAGAATTCACAAGTGATTTTGTGCAATAGAGTAGTTGTTCTTAGGTTTTACAGAGCTCTTAAGAGTTAAGAGCTGTGTATGTTCCAAGTGGTGGAATTAGTTTTGTTTTCTGGCAACAGTAGAAGCATTTTCCGTCTCAAAGTGTGTACAGAGTAATAGTTGAGGTCTGAAGACTTTTGGAGGTTAGAGAAGAGGGCTAGAGAGACTAGCTGAAGGGATTACTAGCGAGACGAACGTGGTGAATCACCAGCTCAAATATAGCCCTGGAGGATAAACAAATCAGCCAGTCTTGTGGCTTTTTTCAGCTTGTGGTCCAGAAAAGTGGTCTCCTAGCTTCTGGTGCTCAACATAACTGATAGTAGCCTGACACTATGAGCACTCAGGGAACTGCCAGGGTTTCACTTCTTTGGAGATGAAACTGTTGATTCAGAGGCTCATTGCTTGATCGGTGTCTGTCACTGCAAGGAGAATCCTCCCTGGCACTAGCGTGTGCTGGACCTGTTCTTTAAGGAGCTTAATTATCCCTTCTTGTATTTTGAGAGTATGGTTAATGATACCCTTAATTAAAAGGGATACAGCATCACTTATGTCTGGGGGCACAATGGGAAATCATTTTTATTTGTATGTGTATGTTTTGATGACAGAAAAAGTTGAGAACTTGGGGCAAATGTTTCAGTAAATGGATTTAGATGACTTGTGCTTAACAGCCTCCTGTCCTATTAACAGGGAGGGCAACAGCCAGAAATGGTGCTAGAAGAGCCTTGAGGATTTTATAAGCCTGTTAAGGCCTACATTAGTAATATACAGCACTTTGTTACTGGAAAGCAGAGTCTGAAGTGCTAGAATTTTCTTTTTTTTTTCATGTTTAAACACATGGAAGGCTAAACAGTGGATCACGCAGAGCAGGTTTTTTTGCTTGTGGAAGGTGTGGATTATATATAGGCCTTGAGCTTTCCCCTTTTGGGCAGCGTTTACATTGTTTTGATTGTCCTCAAGTCACTTTTGTTTTTAAAACATTTGGGCAAGAAGCAGTTTCTGTTTGTTTTGGTTTGGTTTTTTTCAAAATAAGAATGGAATTGTTTAATTATAGACTGTACTAGGACTTTGGCCTTGTTCTGAATCCACAGTCATATCAGTTTTGAAAATCCAATAATGTTTTTGAAGTTCTACTCAAGCCAAAAGCTGTGGCATATGCCTCTTCTGAATTGGTTCAGTATCTGTCCCTAGAGTCACTAAATGGCTTAGGCTGGCAGGGACCTATATCCTTCCAAGCACATAGTTAAAAAACATTTAAGGAAAGCGAAGCAGATGCTTTAATCGATGTACTACTTGGATGAGATGGCAGGCATTAGACTGCCTCACTGTCTTTGACTTGAAGGACACAGATTTATTATGCTCAATTTCTGTAAAACCAGGAACTGCATATTCCTTTCCCAATATTCAGCTCCAATCTGTAGCTAGTGGTTTGTTTCTGTAGCTAAAAGAATCTGCAGGGCTTCCTGCCTCTTCTTCAGGCCGCCCTTTTCTGGTCACCTACCTAATCTGACAACTTTCTTCACTTCCATTTCTTAATTTCCTGGCACGCAGCGTCCTCAGACACAGAGAAACTTGCGCAGTCGTACAGGCTCTGGTGTCAGCTAGCACGAGATGCTGCTGAGCGTTCAGAGGCCAGACCTGAGCCGCTGCCAGAAGGTTCGCAGACAGCACACGCTCCAGGGGACCCGAAGCTGGGAGCCAGTTAGTGTGGAGCAGCCCTGGCTTAATAGCAATAGCGTATGATCTTATCCCATATACATTTACCACAGAATGGATGCATGAGCAAGCGCCCATTTTAGACAGAAGGCAAACAAATTTACTGGAGGTTCTGTAGGCCTATGCAACTACATTGAAGCAGGTAACATAGCATGCAGTCCAGCATATAAAAGTCAGTTATACCTTTCTGGGGATCTTAAATTGTTTGTTGAACTCTGTTTCGTATGTTTATCTGGATTTCTAAGAGAGAATAAAAATCCTGTTATAATTAGATATTTATATATATGCACAGAATGAGTCACACATCTTGATAATTCCTTCTTCAAGGAAATAAAGTCCCTGATAGCTGTATGTATAGAAGAAGAGGAAGGGAGAGTTATGTGTTGGTTGGGATTATCTTGAAATTACATTGCTTCATGAACAATAGCTAATTGTTACAACAGAAGTTTTTTGGCTATTAATTCATACGGGGTGATAGTAAAAAAGTGCACAAATTCTTTGCTCCCAGAACCTGAAGCTGTAGCTTTACTTGCCCAGTGCAGGATCCAACTTATATTGGAGCTTTTTCAGGCAGGCAGCTGGGCTGTGGCGGTGTGGTAGGAACACAACATCTGTGATGGAGGGGTGCACAGTATTGTTTCACCCAGCAGCTCGATCTGCTGTCTGCCTGACATACTTCTTTATTCTTGCTGGTCCTAGTCAGTCCTTCTGATTCCATCCCAAGCATTCGGTGCAGTACGAGATGTTTCATGGGTCTAAGAGTGTATTTGGGCAGCCTTGGTTTTAGGGTGCTGTGTGCCCGGCATTGGAACCATGGTGAGATAACTCTGAGGGGCGAGCCAGCCTTTCTGTGCACCCACTTCATCCAGAGCATCCCATTCGGTGAGTTCTCCTTATCAGCCGCCTCACATACATCACCTCAGAGGTGCAGCAGTGCAGGAAAGGGCCTTGAAGCTTAAAATGTTTCCTGGGTGCTCAGAGTGCTGTGTCTGCAATAACGCATGCTGGCAACGTACCATGTGGACAGTAGAGTTTAATGCAGATGTATGTGGCAAAAAGTGCTGTAAGAAAAATCTTGACTGCTGCTTTCACTTTAAAAAAAAATAAATCCATGTAATTCTTTGAACTTGTGCACAGTTTCAGTGCCATTACTTTTTTTTATAGCTGTGTCATAAAATCCAGGAAAAAGTTTACTACAGACATCCTTCCAGACACGTTAATTTTTATCTTGGCCAAGATAATTGCTACTGGACAATTTTGACATGTTGCACTGTAATAGCTTGCTGTATTTGACACTGCTGTTTTTACCATCAACCACAATTCATTGTTTTGAGACGAGAAGTCTGTTAATGTAGCAGTTTGGAAAAGACTTTATTTTTATTTTTTTTTCTTTCTTGCACAGCGTATCCCTTTTGTACTGCTAAAGCTCGTCTTAATGAAAGAGCCTGTGGCTTTTGAAGAGAGAGGATTTTTTCAATATGTTCCTCTGTGATAACTGAAAACTTTCCTTCTCTGTTTTTCTTCCCAACAGTAATAATTTAAGTAAACTATAAATGCAATTGTTGGA